CACTCTATAAACTTCCTAAAGGCTATCCATGTCCCTTTTTTTTTTTAACGAAAAACAGGCTGTTCTTTGCTCTTTCCCCCTCCCTAGGAGCACTCTGCAAGTTCCCTAAATGCTATTCATTCCTTTTGGGGGGGGGGGGAAATGGGCGAAAAATGGGCCATTTTGGGGAGGTTTGCAGAGTGCAAAAACTTTTTAAAAAAAATTGCCTCTTCAAAATCTTGGTGCGTCTTATACTCCGGTGCGTCTTATACTCCAAAAAATACGGTAATAATCCTCGAGGTATGAGCACAACTGAGCCCAATGTGTCTGTTACCAAGTGAAACATTTGTTAAGTGAGTTTTGCCCCATTTTATTACCTTCCTTACCACAGTGGTTAAGTCAAAGACTGCAGTTGTTAAATTAGGAACACGGTTGGTTACGGGAATCTGACTTTTCCCCACTGGCTTTGCTTGTCAGAAGATTGCAAAAGCAGATCACATGAACCTGGGATCACTGGAACCGTCGCAAATATGAGTCAATTGCCAAGCATCTAACTCGTGATCATGTGACCAAGGGCATGCTGCGACGGTTGTAAGTGTGAAAAACGGCCGTAAGTGGCTTTTTTTTCTGTGCTATTGTCACCTCGAATGGTCAGTCAACGAACTGTTGTAAGTCGAGGACTGCCTGTAGCTGGTGTTCTGAGAGCAAACAGGAGGTGTGTCTCTCATAATTTGGTTGGCAGGCAAAGGCATAACTCTATCCATATAAGCAGTGTAGGATAGATGGTTTTAGCAAATTGAGATCAGGACTCCTGATCCACATTGCTCCCAAAGAGGATTGAACTGGACACAGCTGTTTGCACAAGGTCAACTTGCTCTAGCTCAGGGGTCTCGAACCTTGGCAACTTTAAGACTTGTGGACTTCAACACTCAGAGTTCCTCAGCCAGCAAAGCTGGCTGAGGAACTCTGAGAATTGAAGTCCACAAGTCTTAAAGTTGCCAAGGTTGGAGACCCTTGGTTTAAACCATTTCTGTCAAGACCATGTTGAGTCATCTAGGTTTGCCAAGGTTGGAGACCCCTGCTCTAGCTAACTCTTGTGTCTGCAGGCCGACAAAAATCAACCTTAAGACCCTTGGTTCTTCTTCCTTTCTCAAAGCCAACCTTGTAATCTTACACTCCTGTGGAATTGGAGTTTTTTGTGGTACATGCCTGTGTAAGAACTTCACTGGAGAAATTTCTATTTGATAAAGAAAGCAACGGCAGGCAGGTAGCGATTGGCCTAATAAGACAGCGTTTCTCCACCTTGGCAACTTTTAACACAGGTGGACTTCAATTCCCAGAATTCCCCAGCTGGCTTTGCTCTGTGAGTGACAGTTAACAGCACAACAGCTCTTCCCATCCCCCCCCCCCAAAACTGCTGCACCTAGACTTGAATGGAAAGATGCAGTTGGGAGAGACAAAGGCCAGGCAAAAAAGTTGCACCAGCAACTCAAGACTCTCGAACTGCCACCTCCAGGGAAAGATGATGGAAGGCAACAGGAGAAGGGGACGGTAGAGGATGAGATGGTTAAGAGAGTATCACTGATGCAATGAACATGAACATGGGCAAACTCTGGGAGACAGTGGAGGGTTCGGGCCCTGGCATGCTGGGGTCGATAAGAGTTGGACCAAACTGAACAACAACATGGGGCAAAATTAACAATTGATAGAAGTTGCATACCATAGGTGCTTTTTTTTCCCCCAACTGGACTGCTCTGGTTTCTAGCACGCACATGCAGGTCAGCCAGCTGGTCTTCATGGGTGCCGGAATGCAGGAAAATGGCCTGAAAAAACAGCCTAAAAACAGGTCATTTTTCAGGCTGCTTTTGGCCCAGAAACGGCCTGAAAACGGCCAAAAAACAGGCACGCATGCACCGGCCAGCTGGTCTTCGGGTTTCCAGTAACCTGGTGTGTGCACAGACATGAATGCATGCATGTTTTTGTTTGGGCACTCGGTGCTGTCCTATACAAAGAATACCAATTCTAGGCAATTATTAATGGAAGAAATAACACACTGAATAATTCAACTTGCCATTATCCTTTTTAATTCATTCCTTTCTCAATATTCCTTATTATGGGGTCCCTATGTTATGGGGTCCAGGGCATTCTCAATACTGAAAGCAATGCTAGAGACTAGTGATTTGCTTTGCAAAATGACGGTATCCCCCGCCTTTTCTTTTTTTAATTAAAGTATTTGCTTATTCTGGAAGATAAATTAATCTGGATCTGTCTCTTATCCAATAACAACTTCAGTATTAACCTTTATACAAATTAATGAGGCTCGGCTGAAAATACCACCTTATGTTATGGATCAATCCAGACAGACACCAGGCCTTCTCTGCTGAATATCCAAAATTTAACCCTTGTACTCCTTGCAGAAAACCTTGTTTATTTAGCAGGAGCTGAGGGGAGTGATGGGAGCTCACCCTGCCATGCAGTGCTAGGACTCAAACAATTGAAGCAAAGATTATCTCTGGCATCACTGAACCACCGCACCTCTTCATATTCAAGTTAAAAGATTTTTACTAAAATCATATTTGTGGTTTAATTACTATGCCATGTTTATTTATGAGAGCTGCACACCGTGCATTCCAACGTGATACCAAAAAATGACATTGGCTTCTGGATGTACCGTATTTTTGGAGTATAAGGCACACTTTTTCCCCCCTAAAAGAGGGTGAAAATTTGGATGCATCTTATACAGCGAATGTAGTCCCGCCCACCCGCCAGCCTCCACCCTTTGGCCTCTGCCTCCCAACAATTTGTCTCCTTGCAGCAAACAGCAAGTTTCAGTTTCAGATCAGCACAGCTTGATTAGCAAAAGCAGCTGATTGTCGGTTGGATCGGCCTCCTGACCATCAGCTGTTTTAGGCTGCAGGGATTGCCATTGCCACCTTCGCGCGCCCTGTTTTCGGCCTCCACACACTCCATTTTCCACTCATTCCAATTCTTGCCACCCGGAACAGGCAGAAAATGAGGTGTGCAGAGGCTGAAAATGAGGCACCCGGAGGCGACAATAGGCTTTGGCAATCCCTGCAGCCTGAAACAACTGATCGACAATCAGCTGCTGGAGCTAATCAGGCTGTGCTGAAATTGAAACTGAAACAGGCTGTTTGCTACAAGACGACAAATTGCTTGGAGGCAGAGGTAGTTTTTTTTTCTTCTTTTCCTCCCCAAAAGCTAGGTGCGTCTTATACTTCAGAGTGTCTTATACTCCGAAAATTATGGTAATACTTACTTTCCTGCTCTTTCTTGATAAAACCAGACCTTCTGCCAAAAGTGCTTTCCCTGTTTCTGCAAATAGTAAGTCTTCATCCATGTCTTCCTCCTTCTTCTTCAGTTCATTGTATTTCTCAACAAACCTGGAATTCCAAGAGGGAAGATCGTAATTTCCAGTCCGTGAACTTGGAAGGGGGAAAAAAATCCTTAGGGGAGAGTTTATTCACTTACCTCTGACAAGGAGATTTATAATTTGATCTTGCTAGATCAAACATACCTGAACCAGCTCCATAGGCTTCATAAAATTTCCTAATGAATTAGATAAGAAATTTCAATTTAGGACTTATCTTCATGTAGACAAAGAATATTGCTATGTTAATATTTATTTACTAGGTAGATTTATATGGTATCCAGCTCAAACACATGCCAATGGGTGGCTAATGCATACTACTTAGCTCTAATTGTGCTTTATTTCCTCTCCTGCCTTGAAAAATGAACATGCTTCTTACAACTGGTATTATTCACCTGAAGTCTTAGTCTAATTCAGGATTGGTGAATTTTTCCTACAAGAGATGTAGATGCCACCTTATTATTCAAGGAAGCAAAAGGTTTCAGGGGTTTCACCCTATTTTTTAAAGGGGTTGTTTAAAGATGCCTGTCAAACATTTTATTTATATTTACTTTGATTTCCCTCCTCCCCACCAGAAATTCTTGAGAAATTATACACTGTCATTTAGTAATTTTCTGCTTCAGTGTAACAGGAAAAGCTTGGAAGACTTAAGAAGCTGCAAATTAACAAAAAGATATCAGCTATAGTCCTTCTCTGCCATTAGATCTGTAACATCACGAGCAGAAGAAAAGTACTTAAAGGTAAAGGTAAAAGTTCCCCTTGCACATATGTGCTAGTCATTCTTGACTCTAGGGGACAATGCTCATCTCCGTTTCAAAGTCCGAAGACGTCTCCATGCTGGCATGACTCAACGCTGAAGGTGCACGGAACGCTGTTACCTTCCCAGCAAAGGTGATTCCTATTTTTCTACTTGCATTTTTACGTGCTTTCAAACTGCTATGTTGGCAGGAGCCGAGACAAGTAACGGGAGCTTACTCCATTATGCGGTGCTAAGAATTCAAACCGCTGAACTGACGATTTTTCTGATCGACAAGCTCAGTGTCTTAGCCACTGAGCCACCGTGTCCCTTACTTAGGCAGATTACTTACATCTTAGAAAATACAAGCAGTCCTCAACTTCCCACTGTTTGAAGTTACAACGGACGTACCTCGGAGCTGTTTATGACCATGTTCTGAAGTTCTAACAGTCACGCCCCCCCCACCCGCAATCCCATGGTCATATTTTGCAATGATTTTGCTGAAAACCTGCACTAACTTCCAATTTTCGCAAAACTGGGCTCATAATAAACCATGTTTTAATAACCATTAATAACCATGACATTTGCTTAATGACTGCTGCATAAATGGTCATAAAATCGGGACAGTCACAAGACTGAATGATTTTACAATCGTCACAACTTACAACCAGTTGATGGTCATATCTCGAGAACTACTTTTGCCATTTCCTGTAGCATTTGCCAAGTCATCATAACAACAAGGGACAAAGTTTGTATGCATTAAGTTCCACAATAACATCCCTATCACTTCAAACTGTGAGGAGGGGAGAAGGAACGATGCCTTAATTCTGAAAATCTACTGTTGTTTACAACATGCTTATCCTTGTTTATATTTAAAAGCCCCAGAGATTAAAACAATAGCAGCGTTGGAAGGGACCTTGGAGGTCTTCTAGTCCAACCCCCTGCCTAGGCAGGAAACCCTATACCCTTTCAGACAAATGGCTATCCAACATCTTCTTAAAGACTTTCAGTGTTGGGGCATTCACAACTTCTGGGTGCAAGCTGTTCCACTGATTAATTGTTCTGCCAGGAAATTTCTCCTCAGTTCTAAGTTGCTTTTCTCCTTGATTAGTTTCCACCCATTGCTTCTTTGGTTCTTTTGTATTTTCAAACCCAATTCTTTGATGGTTATGAAGGCTGCTGCATACAT